AGCATGGCTTCAGCTGCCAACTATTGCATCCAAAAAGGTAGGGAAAATCGTGAGCAGAAAGGTGCCTCCTGCTCTAAACTGTTACAGGTCCGAACCTGTGAACACTTACCCACATGAGCAACTGTACTTCAGTGAGTAGCCCTTCCTAGCACTGCGCCTGGGAGGCCATTCATCACTTCGAGGTATTTTTATCATAAGCAGGGCCCCCATTCTTCAAATGTTAAAATACTTTGCTCATGTGAATAATGCCACTGGGGTCAATGGTACTATACATCTGAGGAAACCTGTTCGCATTCTTCAGTGTTTCGCATTATCAGATCCTAGGTGCGCCCTAATAAGGAGTCCTCGGGCCCTTTAAAGCAGAAACCTTTGCATTGACATTCAAAGGAATATAGCTTTAATGAACAACAACATCGACAAAAAGAAAGAAAGAGAAAGACTGCTTAACCCTGTCAGGAGGCAGATAATCCATATTTAAATTAAGGTTTCATCTTAAAAATGCTTTGTCTCAACCTAGTCTCTTGTCAGTGGCTGCCATCCATCCTGGCAACAGGGATTTAATGTAAATGTGGCATAACTAAGTGACGGGGGTCCCAAGAATTGGCGGACAATCAGTTACATTCTGATGTGACACCATGCTGACAAGAGGCTGGGCCCCCTTCCAGACTGCATTGCTGTAGGTCTCTCCACAAAGCCACTCCCATGATTCCTTAAGGGGCTATCTCTGCCATTTAGCATGTTTTTGGTTTGGTTTTTGTTTTGTTTTGTTGGGGTTTTTTAATAAGAATAATCCACATTTTAATGCCAAGACTCTTTCTGCTGAACAGGAATGCGTTTGATCCGTGGCAGTGTACACCTTGAGAAGAATCAGAAACAAAGGAAGTGGCACAAGTAAACGTCTAATTTTGTGAGGAAGAGAGGGAAATGCCACATTATGCACAAGAACCTGAGATACATTCCTTCAGCTTTTATCAGAACACAACTTCCTCTGGGTTGAAAAAATATAAACCATCTGTCAAACCCTTGAATGAAATCAAAGGAATGGACAGCTTAGAGGGCTCAGTAGAACAGTTTAAGTATTAAATCATGCATCTCCTTTATTATGATAAAATAACTTTTGTGTAAATGTTTTACCAGTGAAACTAAAGACTTTGGGACTCTACGAAAGTCCTCTCTCTGCATCTATTCATATGCCTCTGACACTCCATTGTAGCCCTGACCAATACCCACCTTCAAAGGGGCGTTTCGCCCAGCGTTCTACGAACCTTCAAAATTAAACTGATACGGTGAATTGTGGCCAAACTTTTGTGATGCACTGCCAGCAAAAAGGCAAGCTTGATCTAAAGCCATCTCGTTTATGTTACTGTGCTTAAAATAAATACAGTTTATCCCCTTTCCCATTTTCCCCATTTGCGGGCAGATAGATATAAATACACCCACCTTCTAGCAAGCTTCTGTCATTCCCAAAACTCGAAGTAGTCCAGACTGCTTATTGACACTATACACATTGCAAAGCCAGTCCCCTAACTGAAATACTGATACGCAGTTGCAGGTAGACTTCAGAAATGAGGGATTTCAGTAGGCAAGCATGAATTCCACCAAGATTGGGTTCCTCAGAGGGGTACGGTGGCAGCGCGTTTGCGACACTATTTACTGAGCTCCACGAGCAGAACACGACCAAAATGTGTCAGTTTAATGAGTCTGTCCTGACAGGATCACGTTTGGGATTAATATTTGCGTTCTTCTTTTAAATGGAGCAGTAAACAAGAACATGAATTCATAGTCACACCCTCATTCTTTCCAAGGTGGAAAAGTGATAATGAAGTTTAAATGACCAGTTTGTGTCTGTCCCTATAACCACTCCAGACAAGCAGCATGGACTGCCTTTTTGTTGCAACTCAACAAGGAATTATTTGTGGCAGAGGCCACTAATTTCAGCATATTAATCAGGGGGCCCCTCTCGCCTGTAATTGGATGCCCCCAAGTGAAGAGTGTGGCATCATTGTCAGCCTCCATCGCCTCATCTTGCGCTATTGAGCGCTCAGGAACAAGGGGGCTTCGGTGAGATGAATTAGACCTGACACAGCCACAATGGGGTAGGGGGCCCCATCAATTGAAGCACACATCCCCAGTAGCCTATCTGAGACTTCATCCAAAAAGAATAAACAACTTCAGCGTTGTTAAAAAGAGAGAGAGAGAGAGAGAGAGGAGGGGGAGGAGAGAGAAGAATGCCAGCCACCCTGAAGGGAGGACAAAGCAGGCATATAGGCGCTGCAGCGCTTTAAAAAAAATTCCTAACAAGGCGAGTCACCCCTTTTCCTTTTTAAATGGAGCAGCAATTCCATCCGTCTGGAGAGCTGGGGGCTATGAATGAAAATCTTTTCATTGAGGCAAATCAAAACTGTGAACATAAATCACTTGCTGCAAGATGCAACAGGTTCCAACTGGTCACATACCTTGAGACTCCCAATTTTATAAAGGCCGGAGAATAGGAGAATTGTAACACGCTTGTTTCAAAGGGGGATCTTTCTTTCTCCATCGAAGAGGAGGAAAGCAACAACAATAATAGCAATAATAATAATATAAAAGGAGCCTGGTATGTTTTGATAACCAGAGGAACATAATGAAATGCTGAAGCTCCAATATTTGTTGCTATTCATTGTTACGCTTGTATAGAGCTGCAGTTCTCCCTCAACACTGGTCTTAACTTGGGCCAAAAGAGGCCTGCTTCCTTTTGAGCTCTCCCTGCCTTGCTCGGCCATGCCAAAGCCCCATTCATTAAGCTCAATTATGTGTTAACTTCAAACAACCCCTGGTAATTTTTTTTTTTTCTCCCAAACCTACCACAGCACAAAGACATCCTTTGGTGAAAATGGATTTTTCAAAACTAAACCAAATCAAACAAATTCACTTCTACTAGCCAGACAACTGAAGAAGGAGCTTAGAAGGAATTCCCCTCAACTTCACCTTGCAGTGTAACCTTCTCTTTCTGGAGCAAACACATACACACTCATCTACAAACACTTCCACAGCCTTGTTAAGCCAACTGGCGGAGATTTTATTTTCTAAGCAAGCATTATTTTGCTGCCTCTTCTTAGGAGACCCTCCTTTACAGTAGAGGACGCAGGCTGTACTTCAAGCAAAGGACATACTGCACTTGCCCCTGAGGCCACTTAAGCGAGTGTCAGTGTTTCCAGTGGACTTTGGATTGGGCCCCACAGCATCCAGGCAGCACAACGCGTTTGCAGTCCATCTAGGTTCATTTTGGCAAGGGGAAATACAACACAACCCAGCGACAGCAAAGCAAAGTCCAGATGCTACTTAAGCCACATGTGATCTTCACTAGCCAACAAAGAAGTCATGAGGAAAGCAAGAGGTAGAGAAAATCCTGACATCCAAAAATAACAATAAAAATACAGAGCCTAGTGGCAGCCTTCCTGAGCGCTCTTTCCCCAGGCAATATTCCCAACTTCAGTAGGGAGCTGAAGAGGGCCCCAATTCTGGTGAGCTCAGTACTGGTTTTTTTTTAAAAGCTAAGTAAAACTCCCAGAACATGGTTCTCATTTACTGATCCATTCTCCAGCTGTGGTGTGTAGCAGTGTTAAATAAAGGCTCTGGATGTGCTTCCTAAAAGAAACATAACAACACCGACAGTAGATCAAAGTACTGGACTCTTAGCAAGTCTCCAACCTTTGAACTACTCTTGTTTTCATCCCTGTCATTGCCAACACAACAACCTAGGTTAAACATCCCCATATCCAAAGGGGAGGCCGGGTAGCTGTTCTCTTTAGCTAACAGCCGAGGAAGCTTCAAACTTAGCAAATCACGCATTTGGAGTCGCAGCAGCCTTATCTGGTAGAATCTGGCATGGAGAGTTACGTCTATTTTCCCAAAATGTTGCTGCAGGTAGTTTGAAGGCCGTTTGAAGGTTGTAGCGCTCCGAACACCGAGCATTATTGCAGGCAATCTAACTTACGAACTGCCCGTTACGCTGATGTTAGGCCCAAGACGAAGAGCAATGCCAGTGTTTACAAATTTCTCTTTTATGGCTTGGTCGTTCTATCTTTAGGCCTTGCAGTAGAGCCAATTCTATGAAATAGAATTTTTCCTCCGAGTGCCTGCAATCTTTCTTCAAACTTTTTATACCGAACCCATCTCTGGAAAATAAACTACACAACTTTAGTTTGTGCCATTGACCACACACGTCCCACCGAGGTTTTCAAGTGTGGATACCTCTTCTCAAGTCCAAATGCAGGCTTGATCTCTTTTTTTAGCACAACTGCTACTGAATATTAACGTTTACTAAAGCGCTGTATCTCCTTTACACTAAGTTTTTATCAGTGTCAACAGAGTGTCTGGCATTCCTCTTTACGTGCTACTGCAAAAGAACATTTGCTTTGGCTGCTTTTTCTTCCTTATTCTTTTGCCATTCCTGGATTGGTCTCGCCATACTAAAAGAAAACGCGCTGAACGCGTTTTGTTTAAACAGAGTATCTTCCCTCTAGAACTTATTTTGCCCCTGCTCCTCCAGCTCTGTCCTGTGGGAACAGTGAGATCTGGAGAACAGAAAGACTCCTCTCAAACTTTTTTTCCTTCCCACTTGTTAGGGTTCAGTGGGTAAAGCCGGTACATGCACAAATGCATACACACACAGAGTCCACATGCAAACATGGAACTTCAAAGAACCAGTGCTCGCGCACGCACGGTGCCCTTGAAACCAAAGATCAGGCCTCTGCAAACCTGGCCTAGCGAACAGTCGGCGTCTTTGGAGGCCGGCCCTGCACATGGCTTCAGCGCAGCACGTGGTCAGAAGGGTGCAGATGGCAGGGGCTCGGTCCTGTGCCAGGAAAGCCTCTGTGCCGCGTGGCCCTCCTCCAATCCACCAGCCACCGAGGAGGGAGGAAGAGGCAACTCGAAGAGGGAAGTTTTGAAACCCCCACGCAGATCTATTCACAGGCAAAATCTCCCTCCGCCTTTAAAAACCGTCTTAAGAATGAATCCGCATGGGGAGGGATTCCCCGTACGGGCAGTAAGCCTTTTGCAGCCCCCACGTAAAACCCGGTGTACAGAGGTGAAGAAATCGTGCCACGCTGAGCTGCGACTCCAGGGCTAAGCTACAAAGAGGGGGGTACTTCTCCCTCTCTGGCAACACCACATACTCCACTCAGAAGCAAAATGTCTTCTGAAAAAACTTACCTCCGCAAAGTAACCCACCTTCTGCAAACAACAAGGGGCAATAATCGAGGCTTAAACCACCTCCCCACAGCTCTGTGAGCTCGCTTTAGACCACAGCTACGGGAAGCTTTACAAGCCAGGGGGTAGAGGCATGGAGGGGAGCAACACGCTTTGCTTAACGTGCAGGGCTCATACCTGTAGCGCACAGAGCCACAAAAGTCTGAGCATGTTTACGGATGATCTGCTTGGTGTCCTCTGCCAGAGGCATTTTAGTAAGGAAATGTTCAATGAAATCGTGGGGGGTCATTGCAGCCAGATTCCATTTCAGCTTATTCACCAGAAGCAGCTCCATTTGCTGCAAAGACAAGAGGGAGGGAAGGGGGAAGAAGAGAAGAGGAAGGAGAAGAGGGAAAATGTGGTTAGCTCCGCTCACAC